TGTGATTTGTGTAACTTCAAAATATTTCCATCCCAGTATTTCTGCAATCAACAGGAGAGAGGGGCAGGATGTTAGAGGGATACAGATGAGGAACACACCAACTCTTACTAGCATGGGGTCTGGGAGGTTAGAGGAGCTGTTTCCTACAGCTGAGATGCTGGAAAAATGAGATGTCATAACTAATCTCTTCCTTTTTCTGGATAGAAGGTGGAGCTAGCCACCAGTCTTGGCTTTCCTGTCCCTGGTCAGGGCCCTCTTAAAAGCCCCAGCTGCCTTCCCAGAAGCCCAGCACTTTGATCCTTGAACTTCCCAGGGCCTTGCTACACCCGTACCATGACCTGCCTGGGGCAGGAAGGGTAGTTGGCTCACCCATCGTGAGCAGTACAGCACTTCCAGTGTGCAGGAAGATTCACCTCCGACCCCACAAAAGCCTGATGCTGTCCAGTCCAGACCAGACCTCTCATTTTGCTGGTGAGAAAGGAGGCTCTGATAACTAAAATGGCTTACTCCAGGGCAGCTTTGTACCTTGAACTCAGGTTTCCTAACACCTAACACATTGTTCCTTCTTTTTCATCATGTGCTTGAGTTGGTTTAGCTCTGGCTGGATGGAGGTGAGCAGGTGACTCAGGGAACTCGTACACCAGGCCCAGCTGGGCCTTTGAGTAATTTCCTGATCTTCCCACTTTCCCCATCACCAGATCACTCCTAGAATCACCACATTTTACTGGCCTTTTAAAATCACAACCCACTTAGAATCAGTCTTGGCGGCAGGATCTTAAGCACTTGTGAAAGCAACATGGCATATCTCTTACTCTCCATTGACTAATTATGGAGCATCACTTTTTTGACTCCCATTTATTATTTTCTAGAGAATGTTCTTATCCACTGTGGCCAAGGGGATCAAAATTAAATTCTAACATTGCTTGTGGTAACTTTGAAAGGCTGAGGTAATGCAGCTTGGAAATAAAGCAAGGTTCTGGGACAGATGTTACCACACACAGTCCAGCCCGGTTCAGTTTCTATGTGCTTAGGTCATTGGCAAGGGTTGGGAACTTCTGGGAGATTAAACTTTGTCCCTGCCCATACGGACTGTTTTCAGAAAAGTTTATGGATTGTACAAGAGTGTCCTCAAGTCTATTAGAACCTTTACACTTAAGAATAGCTATGCCCAATGAGTCTGATTAAGGAGTTTGTGGGGGGAAGGGTCATCAAAACCCTACTTACTCCACCCAATTGCCAGATAGCAGAGAAAACCATGAGCACATATGTTTTTAAAAGGTACATCTGTTCTTTTCAATAAGTGACCTTCATCTCGGCATGACTAAGTGGATGTTAAGATGTCTCTTGAAACAGGTCTTTTACAGGCGTTTATCCTCAGCCTGAAACACTCTCAGAGACATCGAGTATGCTTAGCTCCTGTCAAGCAATACTCGATTGTTCTATAGGAGAAAGAGAGGCCTTCAAGTGCCCATGGTTCCAGCCAAGAACGAGCAATTTGGCAAGCTTACCAGTGTAGAATGCTAGACAATTTTCTGAAAGTTGTCCTGGAATGGTGAAAGCTTTCACTCTAAAAACCTTATCCAAGAAATCCTCCAAGGTCTCATCCCATCATGAACTCTACATTTTTCTTTTTGGAGCAGATAAATGACCCTATCAAGAATAGACCCCATGGTTACAAAGAAAAGAGAATGACATTTTTAGTAGGAATTCAGTCATCACTTCACTCCTCCACAAGAATGAAGGGGGAAAAGGTGTTAGTGGCATATAACCAAATATAATAACTTCAGCTATGTGAAACTCTTTATACATCTTGGAATTTTTGAAGCTAAAGTTGTCTATGCCAAAATACACTCGGGCAACACAACCTGAGAAAACAAAGTTTTAAATAAAGCATTCTGACATCTTTTTCGAATGACACATGCAATTTTGTAATCTACCAAGCTTACGTCTTTCCTTCCAGCTTGAGAGAGTGCAGCACCATCGGCATCTGGCCCCAAATCAGGAAGAAAGTTGGGCTTGGCTTCACCCCTAGATTCTCTGTGGCAGCTGATCCAAGAGGCTGAGACGCAGACAGAGAATTAATATACCATCCCTTAAGCTGAAAGGTTTGGGGAACCTGTGCTTGTTCCTTTGGTTTCTAAATATAATTATGTGTAAAGACTTGAGCTGGGAATGAGCAGTGCTGGTATGAAGTCATTTTGGTGGGATGAGCTCTCCTTCATGCTTCAGAAGTTTCCCAGGAAACCCACAGTCATCTTTCTATAGGCTGATCACAGTAAGATCTCCCTTTTACCTGTGAGAACCAACCTAAAGTTAATATCATTTTCTGCAGTTTAAACATTCTAATTGCATACCTGAATTTATTTTTCAGAAGAAAGAAAGCAAATCATTTATTTCAGTCATATAAATAACCATATCTCTGGCCTGTATTAAAAACTGTTGGGCTCCCAAGCTCTGTTTGAAATTCACAACATGGGAATTTACAGAATTTTCATAAAAGCAATTGAAATTACAGTGTCTCCATGAACTCCCAGGGTGTACTTCTATTAACAAAAGATGTTTTGCTTTACTCACACCTGCTCAGTTCTCTGTGGGGGCTCAAGCAATACACATTCCAATAGAGCAGCGTCAATAAAATCAAATAAAAATTAAGTTCCAAGGAATGGAATGTAGATTTTTTTACCACGCAAAATGCATTTGAAAAGGAGCTGAGTTCTTGGAACTGACTTTTTTTAGTAGAAAATTGTTGCAAAAAGATAGTTTCTTTTCAACCAGAGATCCTAGTTTTTACTTTGTTGAATTCTCTATCTGACAACTTGAACACATCTTCTCTCTGTTTCTGTGTGTGCATATGGGTGTGCAGAGAGGAAAGAAAGGGGTAGGGAATGTTTAGAAAAGGTAGGAGAAAGGGATAAAGAGCTAGCAAAATAGGAATTTTTTATTTCTTGTAGCCTGTTACTAGAAAGAATTAGGGAGCTCTCACAGAGTCTGCCTAAATTAATGTGTTTTTACTCATTAGATTATGGTCTTAAGAAAACTCGTGTTTTTCTTAAGTATATGAAATCCTGGTTCTCTTAAGAAGCCTTTTGTCTATGGAGAGATAAGGTCTGAGCTGAAGTCCCTCTAATTGCCAATTTGTATTTATACATAATATCAATATTTGTAGGGTTTTATTGTCCTCAGAGTCACAAAACATCTAGGGCACCCTCTCTGTGCAGACTATTACATTACTAGTTCCTCCTTCCACACATATAAACTCACAAGGATCACACTGAATTGCATGTAAAGGCAAATCTTTTGCTGTGAAAAAGATTACTCCCTTTGGGGAGCAAGAAAATGATAAATACGTTAGTGACAAGACAATTTTATTTGTGAGAAAGAAAAGTGCCTTGCTATTTTACAATTTTGTGGCTGCATTAGAAGGAAGGAGGATCCTAAAGAAGGCTCTTTGCAGAGCGAAGTGATGGGCATGGGGATGGCAGACTTAGAGTCTCTAGGGAGGGTCAGGTAGCCCTGCATGGGTAAAGCACCTATTGGATGGCAGAAGATCCTTGACCAGGAAAGGCTGCCTCAGAACCCTGAAGGGGAGAGAAGGAGAGCAAAGTAAGGCCTATCTGTGTCTGAAGAGAAGATCTGGGAGGGGACAGAGATGTGCACTGAGAACTTCTACTGATTTTTTCATTCATTGATTAATTTGCTGTGTTCAGACATCTTTATTAAGCACCTGCTGTGTGACCAGCTCTGTGCTAGATAGTGGAGATAAGGCAGACACTGACCTTCAAGCACCTTCATTGAAATATCTCACTTCCTCCTAGAGCAAATTTTCTCTTGGAGAAGGGAGGAAGCGCTCAGCGACTTCGCCAAGACTGGCACTGAGAACTCTGAGGCTGCCAGGGAGGGCAGCCACATCTGCTTTACTCACATTTCAGAGGGGGTGTCCATAAAGGAAGAAAACCAATACGTTGGCTCTTAACTTGTCATAACTAACTCGGTGACCAAGAATTGTAAGCATCTAAAAGTAGGAAGAACATACATAGCTGCTCAGGAATGTGGAGGGAAGGGAATAGTTTGCTTTGGATGGCTTAGTCACTTCTCAGTGTAGTTATTTAGTTATTTTGTTCTTTCACCTTAGTCTAAAATAATCTTTGGAGTTTAAACCTCCAAAGCAGATTTTATATGAAGATGTCCCAACAAACTGGGTGTTAGAATGAGTTATGAGGCATGTAGCAATTTCTTCCCAATTATAAAGTTCCAGAAGTGTGCAAGTGAAGCCACCATGGTTTTTTAAATGAATATTGTGAAAATTTGAATACCTGAAAACAGCTCCTCTTCCCCAAAATCTAAGTATTCTCCATGCTGTGATACATGTGACAGTCTGTTTCTGTTTACATGCATGACCCAATGGATGTTCCTAAGTTGGCAGTTGTAACTTCATTCCTTCTTGTCCTATTCAAAAAGAAAATGCAAGTGAACAAGAGAGCTATTAGTATAGACATTATTATTCCTTAAGGCTAATTCTGGGCTGAGTACTAACAGAGTACTATGATTTATTGATAATATCTGCCATGGTTATGGGAAGGAGTGTGGCAGTTCATTGCCACATATTTGCCATTTCTGAGTTAGATCATTTCTATGACTTTTTTTTAGTGTTGTAGCTCTTTAGTTTGCTTTATGTTGTAGTCATCTGTAAGATTATATCTTACAGAGTTTTGATTCACTCATATCACCTAGCCTGGTCAGGTCTTGCACAGAGGAGACTCAATGGATGTTGTCAGAATTCAATTGACTGTAGCTGAGTGCTCCTGATCTGCGTGCTCTCGAAACAGTTACTGTCATGAAGGTAACACCCATGGCAACCTGTGTCCATATAACACTCTATGTAGGATAGGTGCACAAAGTATTTTTCTTATTAATTATAGTAATAGAAAATTATGAATTTGATCAATAGAAAAACTGTATTCAAACAGAAATTTTAGGGAATGTTATTGATATTTTTTCAGAGCCAGTGATTTTGGGAACCAATCTAGCACACATGTCTACTTTCCTGACTTGGTGAACACAGTCAAAGGACAAAATGGAAACTGTGGGAGCATCTTATAGTCCTCATTCTAAAGATTATTTGAATGGGGAAGATTGGATCAAAACTATATGAATTTAAGGCAGCCACTAAAAGTTGCTGTATAGGTAAGTAAGTAAGTAAATAAATAAATAAATAACCCAGACTCTCAGAGTATTTTGTTGATAGTGACTTCTTTGGGGGGGAGGGGGGGGTAAAAAAATAAAATCCAATAAGTGAGTGTTCTAATAAGCCTGGGACAGCTGATTCTAGGTTTTTCTATGACTAGTTGCCCAAACATGGATGAGAGATTAGGACCTCAAAACGATTGAACATTAGATAATAACTTACATTCTCTCTTGGCTTGCAGGTACCAAGCCTGGACGAATGAATTTAACAAGCTCATTTGTATTTCTGGCTCCTTAACTCTTCATTCTTTTAGCATTTGGAAATAGTCAGTAGCCACCTTGAATAAAATAGCACCATCTGTCCAATAAATTTACCCCCAGCTTGAAGAATCCTATAATGCAAGCAAATAAATAAAAATAATACCTATTGCAAGATGTTTGGATTAAATTTTTTCTTTTAAGAAGTAGCATAATGCAAGGATTGAAAGCATGAAAGCTCTTTGGAGCTAGACTACCTAGGCTTAAATTCCAGCTCAACATTTACAAGCTGTGACCTTGGGAAAGTATTTAACCTCTGTGCTTCACTTTTCTCATCTGAAAAAGAGCAGTATTCAGAAAATCATGAATATTCTGGTACATGGACATAGTGCCTGGAAAGTCATTATAAGGCGTGGCTGGAACATTATGCCATCTAATTTAAAGTCATTAAAATTATCTTTATGTTACTTCTGGTCAAGATGGCACTATAGGTCAACGCGGTATTACCTCCTCCCACAACCACATCAAAATTACAAATAAAGTACAGAACAAACATCCTTCAGAACTGTCTGAAATAGAGCTGAATGGAAGTCCTACAACTATGAAATTAAACAAGACTGGTAGGAGGGGCGGAGGCACAGATGGTCCCACACTCACATGTGGCGAATAAAAATTAGGAGGGCTACCTCAGCTGTGAACATCCAATGTGAGGAGTGAGGGGTCTCCGTCCCACACCAGGCACCCAGCTCAGGGTTTCAGCGCCAGGAACAGAAGTCCCCATAACATCTGGCTGTAAAAACCAGTGGGAATTGAGGCTGAGGGAAGCTGAGGCTCCTAGAGCCCCAGGCAGTTCCTCTTAAAGGGCCCACGCATGGACTTACTAAGACTCACACCTTCCAGGCTCCAGATTGGGGGAGGCAGCTTGAAAGGCACCAGAAACATACCAATAAGAACTGAGTTGTTTGGCATCGAGGCAAGGGCTGGAGAGGCAACTTTCTGCCAGACATACACGCTAGCTGAGGCCAGCGTTCCTTTGGTGAGCCCTTCCTCCATGAGGCTAGCAGATGGGAGCCATATCTGAGACTCCAGCAACCTGGTTCACACTGTTTGCCCTGCCCTGGTGATAGCCTGAGGCCCTGCTCCACCTAACTTTTGGGTCCACCCAAGCTGTTTCCAGTGTCTTTACCATAGGATTGGTCTATTTTGGCTCCTGCTTCAGATTTTCCTAAATTCTCTCAAACAAGCAGCATCTGGTCACAGTGAGCCCCATATGTCTTGCTAAGTGGCCCCAGACCTGGCACTAGAAGCAGCCAGCCTTTGTTCACAGCTTAGTTTTGCCTGGGCACCTCTAAGCCCAGCACAAGAAGCAGCCATCTCTAGACCACTTTGTAGCTTATGTCTGGTGGCCCTGGGTAGAACACAGGCAGTGGCTGACCTTGCCCCAGAGTCAGCACACCCAGTGGACAGCTTCAGACGATGTCAAAGCACTACCACCTAACCACCTCCACAAGTGACACACTCAAGGAATGAACTCAGTGGTAAAGCCTACTAAAGTAAGTCTTGCTCTGTGTGGTGGGCCCCTGCACTTCTGATCATCCTAGGTAATCAGAGGTTGGTGGATAGTGGGCACAGCCAGTCCTTGCACCTGATAAGCCTGAGTAAATCCCTCCCATTCACTTGCCAACATCAATCAAGACTCAATTACAATAGAGAGTGTAAAGCCCACAGGAAGGATGCACCTCAAGGACCCAGCAGGCTGACCAGGAGGCTGTGCCACAGGACCCTACAAGACACCTACTACAACAGGCCACCGCAGGAAGCTTAGGAGACATAGCAATGCTAACTAATACATAGAAACAAACACAGGGAGGCAACCAAAATGAGGAGACAAAGAAACGTCCTAAATGAAAGAACAGAACAAAACTCTAGGTAAAGAACTAAACGAAATGGAGATAAGCAATCTAACATATGCAGAATTTAAAACACTGCTTATAAGGACAGTCAATGAACTCAAGAGCATAATAAAGGACTAGTCAGAAATGAAGGATGCACTAACTGAAATAAAGAATAATTTACAAGGAATTAGTAGTAGAGCAGGTGAAGCCAAGAAGCAAACCATCAATTTGGAATATAAAGAAGCAAAAAACACCCAATTAGAACAGCAAAAAGAAAAAAAAATGAGGATAGTATAAGGAGCCTGTGGGACAACTTCAAGCATACCAACATTCACATCATGGAAGTGCCAGAAGGAAAAAAAGAGAGAGCAAGAAATTGAAAACCTATTTGAAAAAATAATGACAGAAAACTTCCCTAATTTGGTGAAGGAAACAGATGTATAAGTCCAGGAAGCACAGAGAGTCCCAAACAAGAAGAACACAAAGAGGTCCATACCAAGACATATCATCATCAAGATGCAAAACGTTAAAGACAGAATCTTAAAAGCAGCAAGAGAAAAGCAGTTAATTACCTTCAAGGGAGCTCCCATAAGACTGTCAACCGATTTCTCAAAAGAAACTTTGTATGCCAGGAGGGAGTGGCAAGAAATATTTAAAATTATGAAAAGCAAGGAGCTACAATCAAGATTACTCTATTCTGCAAAGCTGTCATTTAGAATTGATGGCCATATAAAGAGTTCCCAGACAAGAAAAATCTAAAGAAGTTCATCACCAGCAAACCAGTATTATACGAAATGTTGATGGGCCTTCTTGAAGAAGAAGAAGACAAAAAAATATGAACAATAAAATGGCAATAAATACATATCTATCAACAATTGAATCTACAAACAAAATAAGCAAGCAGAACAGAAACATAGATACAGAAAACTTTTTGTTGGTTGCCAGATGTGATGGGGGTTGGGGGAATGGGTGGAAAAGATGAAGGGATTAAGAAGTACAAATTGGTTGTTAGACTGAGGAACCTCAAAAGAAAAGGGGGAGGTGAAACGGAAAGAGATAAACCAAAGAAATTTTATGCATTTATGCATAACCAAAGGACACAGGAAATAGTGTGGAGAAGGCAGGAGGGGGGTGGGAATGGGGAGATCAAGGGGGTACATCTGTAATACATTTAACAATGAAGATAAGTTAAAAAGAAGATGGGATTATAGTTACACTCTGGATTAATCATGCATAGATAAAGGAGAGAGAAAATCAGAAAGAAAAAAAAAAATCTTTATGTTACCCTTTGTAACCAGGCAATTTCAATTACTTTCTCTGAATATCAGCTTGACTACTATCATGCATGGCTTTACTTTATAGCACTGCTCTTTAATTATACAAGAGTGAGGTCTGGTTCTTACCATGTGCACACCTGGTGAAGTCAATTCTTTGTACACATGGCCTTTCTAGCTACACGATCTATATTTATGTTCTTATTGATAACCAAATTCTAAAGTCTTAATGTCAGCCAGTTCTTTAAAGTGGCTCAAATCTAATTTATTATGGGAGAAAAGCTGATGGGGGTTTAAGTTTCATTCCTGCAGGTAGAGTGAACCTGGAGGGCAGGCATTCTGACATGAAAACTATTACCAGCAGAGGTTCAGAGCAGCCGTAAAGCAATGTTATAAAGGAACAAGTGAACAGTGGAGCTAAGGAAGGAAGCCAGAGATCAGCCTGATGGAAACAGTATTGGACCACAGGTCAGAGGGACAGGAAACAGGTCTATAGCCATGACCTGGGACAATCAGGACCAGGTGGGGAAGGGAAGTAGCCAGCAGGACAGACAGGGGCAAATATTTCAGGATACAGTCTAGAAACACAGAAGATAGTGGTGCCTTTTGAACAGGTGACAACAATGTGATGTGGGGATGGGCCTTCTAGCTTAAATGCTTTGCAAATGGCCTTGCTGCAGGTCTTCTGAGCTGCAGTATCTATACCATTTAATAATCTGAGTTAGTAGGGTGCTCTCATTTCTTCAGAAACTTCACATAGATCTTTTGAAATGTAAGACAGAAGTGAGCCTACCCTGAACTTAAACTCCAAACCCCTCCCTTCTCCAGGCCTCCATACCTCCGCTGAGGATGCCTCTGAGGAAAAAAGTCCTCTAAACTAAAATTATTCTAAGTTACATGAGCAACACTAGTGGGCATCACATAACCAAATGACCTAAGTGTGTTGTGCATCACAACGGCACAGTCGTGCAAGGCTGAAGCTGCACAGGCCAACCTCATGCCAATCCAGGGTCTTTATTCCTGTCCTTGCCCTACTCCCCTCTCTGTAGTCAGCATCACTCTGCCTTCTAAACCACTCACATTATGAGTAATCATAGAAACAGCTATGTTCATTTATTGAGTTTTAGTATGTGCTACATCCTTTACAAACAAGAGGTGATTTAAACCTGGCAACAATCCCAAAGGTAGGTATTATTATTATTATTATCCCCATTTTACGGATGAGGAGACTGAGGCTCCTAAAGATTAAGCAACTTGCACAAGGTCACTTAACAAGCAACTGGCAGACCCGGGAATTAAATCTAGGTCTGTTGGATATCAAAACCCAGGCTTTTTGCCACCCTGCTGAAGTTCTAATAAGAATGAATTATAGCTACTGATGTATTAATTACAACAGTGAACATATGTTTTAGGCAAGAGGTTACTGCACTCAGGATTTATGTTTTAAGATATTTTATCTTCAATTGTGGAACAAAAGTTTGGGTCCCAAATGAAAAGGACTGGAGGCAACAGGAAGGAGAGGGCTGGGTGACGGAGCAATTGAAATTGTTCAGGTGTGCTTCAGTTAGATTGATAATTCTTACAATCTAGCCCGAGTGGGTGATCTGAAGAGGTCAGCATTCTCTGCCCCACCACTTACAGAGAGATCTGGGAGGAGGACTAGGCCAGAGCTTCCTGGGCTCATCGCCAAACCTATTTTCAGAAACTGCATATATTTGGCCAACTTTCTTATCAACTTGCCCTGTAACCCAGAGCCCCCTGAGACCTAAGACAGACGCGTGCTTGGACGCTATTCCTCTAGCTGTCCATCCTCTGTTCTCCCCGTGAACCTTTCCCCTTCCTCTGGCCCATGTGCTGCTGTTGATAATAACAGCAAGCGTACATCTTAGTTACTATCTAAACACTCCACACAGCTCAACTCAGTAGATTCTATTTTCCTGAGCATTTTAGAACGTTTTTCTAAATAAGTCTTTCTTTGCTCTCATTCTAAAGTACATCCTTAGGTGCCTTATATATTT